ACAATAATTGTCCTAGCTCTACCGTATCTTTTGTTTCATTTCTTCTGAAACAATCACAAACACTTTTTTGATTATGGATCTACTACCAGAAACTCAATGCATAATCTTAGTATTCAATGTGTATTCCTGAATAATCTCATTTTTCAGTTATTCAACCATTTCATTTTACCAAGTTCAATGTTAGTCAGATTAGTCAACATTTCTATGTTTCGATGCAACAACAAGATGTTATTTGTAACAAGTAGTTTTGTTGGTTGGTTAATTGGTCACATTTTATTCATGAAATAGGTTGGATTGATATTAGTCTGGATGCAGCAAAATAATTCTATTAGATCTAATAAGTACCTTGTGTCAGAATTGAGAAATTCTATGGCTCGAATCTTTAGTATTCTCTTATTTATTACCTATGTATACTATTTAGGTAGAATACCGTCACCCATTGTTACTAAGAAACTGAAAGAAACCTCAGAAACGGAGGAAAGGGGGAACGGACCCATTCACCGGAGTATGTTGGGCTGGAATGCCTCCCGCGCCCCCTTTACTAATAAAGGAAAGAAAGCCTCAACCGGATGTAACTAAGTGTCTGGCTCTATTAGTCACAGTTCCCTGTTGTTGCATTCGGTGCTCGTTTGTGCCCGCGTGAACCAACTTTCAGCTTCTGCCTAAAGAAAATGGTYAGATCAATCATAGAACAAGGAGGAGTTTCACAGGAGAGAGTGGTTGTCAAAGACTCAAATGACTGAAGCGGACTTCCCAGTCACTCTAATAATAAGGTAAGGCTATGAAGCCCTTCCTTCAACGAGTTTTGGCTTACCCCTTGTATAGGTTGGAGCTATGAAGCTGATGTTATTATTATTCAAAGGGGAAAGAGCTTTTTCAGCTTGCTGCTCGCTTTTTTCAAGAGGTCCTTAACCCTTCTCCCTTTTACTAAGACTACAGAATGTTCTTGTAAATTATGGCCAATACCAGGTATATAAGCAGTGATTTCAAATCCCGAGGTTAAGCGTACTCTGGCAACTTTACCTAAAGCAGAGTTTGGTTTTTTGGGGGTGATAGTGGAAAAGTTAACAGATAAGTCACCCTTACTGCCACTCGACAGGACCATACATGAGATTTTCACCTCATACGGCTCCTCGTTCAATTCTTTCAAAGTCGTTGGATCTTTTTCCTCGTTCGAGAATCTCCTTCCTTCTTCCATGCCATCTCGAAGAGTGACCAGGACCAATTCAGTCACGTTTTCATTCATTTTAAATATGGGTTCTTCTACGTCATTTTTAATACTTATTTTTCCTCTCTTTTTTTTCTTTTTTTATTCCCTTCCATCATTCCTTAAGTCTCATAGGTTTGATCCTATAGAATCTGACCCGTTTTTTCATTGAGCGAAAGGTACGAAATAAATCAGATTGATTTTTCAATCAAAAGTACTATGTGAAAATCTTCATTTTTCTATCCCGCGGATACAGTGTTTGAATCAATAGAGAACCTTTTCTTCTGTATCTGTATGAATCGATATTATTACATTCCAATTCCTTCCCAATACCTCCTAAGGAAAATTCCGAATTGGATCCAAAATTGACAAGTTAGTGTGAGCTTATCCATGCAGTTATGCACTCTTCGAATAGGAATCCATTTTCTGAAAGATTCTGACTTTCGTGCTTTGGTGGGTCTCCGAGATCCTTTCGATGACCTATATTGTGTTGAAGGGATATCTATATGATCCGATTGATTGCGTAAAGCCCGCAGTAGCAATGGAACCGGAGAAAGTATACAGAAAAGACAGTTCTTTTCTATTATATTAGTATTAGATTAGTATTAGTTAGTGATCTCAGCTCAGTAAGTCCTTTCTTCCATGATGAACTGTTGGCACCAGTCCTCCATTTTGTCTCTGTGGATCGAGGAGAAAGGGGGCTCAGCGGGAAGAGGATTGTAACATGAGAGAAGCAAGGAGGTCAACCTCTTTCAAATATACGACATGGAATCTCGCAATGTAATGTAGTTGGACTCTCATGTCGATTCGAATGAATCATCCTTCCCACGAAGGTAAATCTTTGACTGCTAGGCAAGAGGATAGCAAGTTACAAATTCTGTCGCGGTAGGACATGTATTTTTATTACTATGAATTTCATAAAAGAAGTAGTTAATGGTGGGGTTACCATTATCCTTTTTACAATGACGAATTGGCTACTGTGGAAGCACTGATAGCTACCTCCACTCCTTTCACTTCTGCACCTCCCGCTTTTCCGCCTGAGATTCCAGCTGCACAAGCAACAGCACCTCCACCAGCTCAGGAGGTATGTGTCCTCTCGGTCGCCTTGACCAATCACAGATCAGCCCGACTAACGGTTGCTTTGATCCGTTACACATCAGCTCAAAAGTACCTCTTTCTATTATGATGATAAGGGTGGACGGTAGAGCTAAAACGGGCATAATCGCTGGAACAGCTAACGTGATTGTGAAGGTGGGGTCACTTTCTATGAAAGAGTTTAACGGTCTCTTTCTAGAGCTTTCACAATGATACGAGGTGTTATGTGCATGACCATTAAGAGCACCTGATTTATATAGCGGAATCAAAAAACAAAAATTAAAATGTGTTGTAATCATAATTAAAATATTTATTGATTAAGAAGTGCTAAAAGGAAAATCAAAAGTTTCTCTCCTCTACTCTTCAGCCTTTTTTTAATACTAGTTTATTAGCACGTGCAATATAAATCTATGTATCTAATATCATACAATATATAATTTTATTAATAATTAAAAGTAATTCATCTTATTTTTTATTCACAAAATTATTAATCTTTTATATTAACATACATCTTAAAATATTATAATTCAATTTTGAAGTTAGGTGTTTGTCTTGCAATCAAGTAAGAAATATACGTACCTTTCTTTTTAAAAAAATACATATAGATCTTAATTTTATTTTTTTGGTTATTATTGTTATTATTTTACTACTAATGGTATTGTTTTTTATCATTTATTTACATTATTATAAAATTAAGTTAAATTGAAAATACTTCGTGTATTCTATTCGTATATATTATCAAGTCTGCACGTCACCTTTACCGTTTCCCATTTAAGGAGGAGGGAGTCTTGGAGCTATGAGTCGACGAGAAGAAACTATTCCCTCTGTGTCCCAATACCTTATTCCCTCCGAAAGAAAATGCTAATGCCAACTATACTTTTTAGCACTAATGTAGCTAAATGAGAAAGCCTCACTCTTAGGGCTCGCCCGGGATCTAAGYGGATTGAAGTTAAGAAACGACTCCCTGCAGGCCAACGAAAGCTGTCAGTTGTGGACATGACTACTATTTAGCTAGGGGGAACTAACTGTCTAAGATAGTGGCCGTCCAAAAGAGTGAATAAAGAGATAGGAATACGAAAGGTCCGGAGATGATTTACACGTGGTATCGAACTGGTAAAGGAAAAGTGTAGTTCAAATTGTTGGTGAAAAATGATAGAAGAAAATGTCTATTTAGTTGATGAAAAAGTTACCAAACTTTTAGAATTCTAAAATTTTTAAAATTCTATTGTTAGTATATTAGTGAAAATCATTAAGCTCTCCCTAAATTACATGACAACCATTTACATATTCCAACTTGTTAGATTCCATTAATAGTTAGGATTGATAATTAAGTAATTATTTATTATTTATAATTAATTCCATTAATTTTACATGGCATGTTTTGTAAATTTATAAATTGAAGAAAGAGTCTAATAGTCTAAAAAGGTTTTTTTTTTTTTTTCATGATCCTCCTTTTTTAATATAGTATAGATATTGTGTATTAAGATGTACTAATTTGGTAAATTTAAGGAGGTAATTAATCAAATTGAAAGTTCGAGGGCGTAAATTGTAACTGGCCCATATTTTATAGGTGGTTTTGCAAATGTTTCTATAATTTTTCCTATACTTCGCGCAATTTATTTCAAGAATTGAGAGCTGGTATATAGATCTATTCTACTCAATAGAGTGAAAATGTCTGGGCCGAGTGAATTTCAATTCCCAATTTATATTACGAAATATAACAGACTTCAAAATTGTTTTAGATGTTTTTTTATTATAAATAATTATTTTAGAAGTTTTTGGAGAATAAATAATGTAAAAAGAATTATTGAATGAAATAAACTGAAATAAATATATGCATAACTACTTTTTAAATTAGTCAAAAGTTCAAGTTGGTCTGGTTCCTATTTTTTATTTGAATCCAATACAACCTAAACACGCTTGTAACTCATCCTAAATCATATGTGTTGGGTTGAGTTTCTCGGCTCATTGGATTTTTCGAACTCCCTTGGTTTAGTTAAACTTCATAAATCATTATGATATCGACAAATTGTTTGTGTAATACTAGGCTAATGTTATATATTTGGCTAATCGTGTTAGTTGACTGTATGGAGTTTAGGACTGATTAAGAAATAATATGAAATAGGTGAGCTTTCCAAGTAGATAGAACACAATTTAGAAACATATGAGATTTGAAAAACGATAATGTAACACCGAGTATATAATTTTAATTGTACAACGACCAAGACCTAGAGGTAGAGTCGAACAAAAGAGGCAAAAAGTAAGATTATTACAATCCTATAATTTAAGAGGTTGATTGTTACAATCAAGTTTTTCTTTTTTGTAGTACTAACATATGACAAACTCGACCTCTTAGTCAGAAATATGTACCTATACTCAGATTATTTTTTTTTCTTAAGTACAACATATAAGAGTAGAGATTCAAACTCACAATCATTTGATCCATAAGAGTAGAGATTCAAACTCACAATCATTTGGTCCAAAATGTGTCTATGATCAGGTTGACTTGTAACAATCCAGTTTAAGAGTGATATGTCCATTACGAAATATTGTAACTGCTATAGCTTACCGGTGCTAAAGATCGAACGTAAAACTTTATCCCTGTTTATAACTCTGCCCCTGAACAAATAGTCTCAAGTGGATGCAAAGATATAAAAACTCTGCCTTAAAACTACTCGAGAGAAATGGAAAGGCTCCATTTTGGATGGTTTAATGCTGCTGCTGCTGTCATTGCTATTCTGTCAAAGTCATAATGTGCAAAGGGGAAGGAGTTTGTAAAGAAGAAGAAAAAAAAAGCTATTACAAAGTGAAGTGAGACTCTAAATTGGCAACCTAATGTAATGTACTTTTGCGACAGAATTTCAAGGAAACAAATCGTGTTGTAATGATATGGGGGGATGAAACACCCCAAATTCCAACCCAAATGATTTCTACTTTCTAACTTCATTAGTTTTTAACGTATCTAAACCATAGAATGACCATCTTCTTCTTCTTCTAATCACCCGAGACCCGCGATCGTCCGTCCTTCCTTCACAGCCACTTTCTGTCCCTCTAAATGGGATTGGATTTTGCTCCGTAATATACACATACAAAGTACCGTGCGCCATCATTTTATCCATGAGAACATTGGTTAAACTAAACCGGAGGATGATGTCTCACTCTACGCGACGATGGTAAAAACGAGATTACACAGCATAGACTTCTTCCATTGTCGTCACCTCCTCCCTCGGTTCCCCTCCCCTTTCAACTGGAAACTCCTCCTCAGCATTTATTTGCCGAAATAATGGAATCTCCTCCTGTGGATGCTCTTGGGAGGAAAAACAGTGTGCAAAGGGTGGGGAGTTCTTGATGCATTAAGGAGTTTAAAGGTGGTGGTACCCGTTTCGGTTCGTGAGACGCTGCAAGCTGCTAGTAGAATCAACGGATGCAACCGACACAGCTTGACGAGAATCATGACATTATCTTCTTTTCAGTTGACGCTTCTCTATCTTGCAAAATAGTTCAGTCGTGAAGGAAAATAAGCTAAGGCTACCTCTGTAGATGAGGTGAAGGAGGTTCTTCGAGAGGAGTGCGTTGATTTGAACTACCATGAAACCTTTGATCCTCAAATGCTCTACTCATTCTGCCTCCCTCGTTCATTTGTGACACTTCGTTTAGATTAGCAAAACCTACGGGTCCAAGAGATCCAAACTCGAGCTGTTCTGCAGACGAACCATACCCGGCATTATGATCCAACGGATATAGCATCACAACAGAAGGCATGGAAGGTCCATTTGAAGACACGACGCCGGGATTCATGCCTGGTAATGGATACATGCCATAAGCCATACTAGTAGAACCACTCTGTGTCGAGTTTGAACGCATCGGACCATTCTGGGACTGGTATGATGCCATGGAATCATGCCTATGTGAGCCCCATGCCCTTTCAGCTCGACTTTCATTTGCAGACAGGCGGTCTAACCTGGAATTTGACTTATCAACTTGGCCACGACGACCGGAAGCTCGTGATTTTGAATTGATGTTCCAGTTCCCATCTCTTTCACCATGACTATCACTTCTATCGTAGCTGTAGTTTCCTCGTCTAGCATTTGAAGAATGCCGTTCCCGCCCTGAAGCCTTCTAAAGCAAATTAAAAGAAACAAAAGTAAAAATCTCAAGAAAAAAGAATGTACATGTCAAGTATAACTCAAACCATGCTCCAAAAAGTAAGGAACAACACCGTACCATCATTATAAACAATTCATAAAAAGTATATAGTAAAAACTGTATTGAAACAAAAATGCAGACGTTTCCAACCAGAGAAAAGCTTTATGGAAAAGAGAACTGAAACAAAAGAAAAGCACCAACGCCAACAACTAACAATTTTCTTCCTAATCTATTCCGAAATAAACTTCGTTTGCATATAGCAATAGGAAAGAAATGGGGCAAAGAAATAAGTATCTGTGTTGCTAAAGTAATAAATCCATCCATCAAAACTCCATAACAGATAGGATAAAAGATATATACATTACGTGCTGTAATAATATTTGATTAGTGACTACCTAAATCCAAAAACTTCACGAGCAAAAAAGTCACAATTCTACATTATTTCAGAAAAAAATGATAATATAACCAAGTGTAGGACATAGATTTGGCAGCTGTCTTCATATAGCAGCTGAACCAACCAAACAAATAATTAAATAAGTGGAAGAGGTTTTCTTACAGGATTCGGCAAGTACGTTCCGGTCCCACTGCGATGTCTTGGCATTTCATCAATGTAGTGCTGATATATATTAGGCCTGTTGGAAACAGACTGGAGAGGAGAAACAGGAACCAGACGAGACCCGTAACTCAGAGTGAATAAATTCATGTTAGCAGAAAGAGGTCTTCCAGGACCATCCCATGGAAAACGGCCCTGTAGGTAGACAGGAGGCACAACAACAGGTGAAGGATAAATCACAGGTGTTGGATGCCTAGAATTTTGGCAAAACCGCCCGTATTGCAAATTTTGCCAGTGACTAGCAAAATCACTATTAAGAATGTCCGGTTTAGGTTCTAAAGGTTCAATAAAGGAAGACCCTCCAATAGGATTAGAGGTTAAAACATCAGGCTTATTATGTCCTTCAGACGAATCTGTGTTCTGAGAAGTATCGACATTATCCAAGGAGTCCTCCTCGCTGAAATGGCTCGTTGATGCATCTGAAGTTCCTGTCTCAGTTGGAAAATTATACACTGGAAGCATTGTAACAAATGGAACCGGTGGCCCTGTGGGATAAAATGCAAAAGGAACCACTCCAGAATTATCAACAGCTCTTTGTCTAGAACCTGGGCCACCTAAAAGCACAGGACCAAGAGGTATTAGTGGATCTGACCCAGTTGTTTGGGATGGTTCGAGCCCAGCTATTTGATGCCTTGTAGCATGCGCAGATGCTAGCGATTGAGGCCCAGCACTTATCTCGGCAACTTCAGCACCCATAGTAGGGAGGTGATTCCAATCTCTGCTATCTTCATCAGCTACAGTAGATGAATGCTCAGAAACATTTTTGCCTTTCCCATAAGAGGATGGCAACTCCAAGGCATTCGATTTCCATCCCCGTTTTTCTCTTGATGATTTTGAGGCTCTTGAAGACAACTCTTCCCAAGAATTTTCTATGGTGCTCTTATTTCTTAGGCCACTACAATGTACAACAGTAGTAGTTGACCTAAAAGAAGACGGTCTGTCATCATAACATGCTTCATTCTCTCTGTCATCTTGATAAGCATTTGCATTCCCATCCTTCATTGCCACTCGATTTTCTTTGGTGTGTTTCTTATGGGCAGCTGTAGTAGTGCCAGATACAGACATTCGAGATGAAGGAACAAAGTTAAAACCCCCAGAAGTTGACTGTTGCTTATCATCTGACTGAAGCACTTCAAACGCCCCATTATCATGATCAAACCCAGCAGTAGAATTCCTATCTTGCTCATGCCAAAAGTCTTGATCGCCTTCTCTTGAATTCATTTCTACAGAACTAAAATTTTCATTGCCCGACTCAATGCCATCTTCTGAACTTGTTGTTAAACCCATGCCAGGGAAATAATGAGTCAATGGAGAAGGAACGAAACCTTGTGGGAAATGCATATTTGTGCCCCAAGGAGTCTCAATCAAGGGAATATTGGTGGGAACCATTCCTCCCAAGTTCCTTGGAGCATAGCCCATAGGAGCTAAAACAGAAGAGGGTAATGGAAGAGGTAAGTGACCAGTCGTCAAGTTCAGCGGCAGATGAACCTGCCCATTAAAATTATGGGCCGTAGATGATGCCATCAAGTTAACAAGATCTTGCTCCTCCTGATGCATCGCCAGTGTCCCTGAAATAGAAGCAAAATCTTCACCGACAGCTCCTGGGCCTGACTCATCCTGGTAACTATTTGAACCACTGTTGGAATCAGCAGAAGCATCAATGCTTTGACGGGATGCGACATGTCTAACAATTGAAGGATCGTCTGTTGAAGATCTCATCAAGTGGTTTTCCACACTATCAGATTCTAGGTTTTTCCTCCTGCTGGCATCTGTTCTGTTAGGATGCGCTTTCCCACTTTCAGAAACTCTGTTACGCCTTGATGGAGATGAAACTTCACTGTAGGTGTCAGTAAGCTCTGGGCTAGAACGTGTCCTTGCAAACAGAAACCTTCCCTGTACATCATTCACATGGTTCTCGGGTTTAGAATATCTCTGACCTCTATCTACAAGGGTACCATGATTGTAGTTTGTTTCTTTCCTACTATGATCAGAGGACCTCGAGTTGTTTGAACTGCCAGAACTCCTTTGTGCTTGATTACGAGAAATTGTAGAAGTGTCATTTCTGGATGCACTTTCCAAGGGAGAATTAACTTGAAGGGAGTTCACAGTGTGAGAGCCACGGGACACAACATCTTGGGTTTCACGAGCAGAGGAATTCTCATTCCTTTTGCTGTTTGATTTGTTTCTAAGATTCTCAGAACCATGTGAATGATCTGAATTTGATAATCTCAAGCACTTCAAGTCAGTCTTAGGAACATCAGGACGTTGGCCACTGCCATGTCTCTCCCAAGTGTTCAAAAAAAATTGATTCAATTCTAAGAGGATATCTTCTCTGGGGCATTCAAACAACCTTGCCAATCTTTTAGCTCCAAATGCAAATGCACTACGTATCCTGAAGAAGTTACCTGAGTAACACATGTACCAAAATTGAAGTTGCTGCCAGCAATTACAAAAACAAAGCAAGCAGCAGAAAAACCATGCATTTTAAGCAAAAAAAAAGTCCACACATCCACTGACCACCAGAATGGGAATGATGGAATCCAATGATCATAAAAATGCATTAAACTTTTGGTTTCTTAATTGAAGAGAGTTCTATAAATTTTTCTTTTTTTAATGAGAAACCATTATTTCAACTAAAGAGAGTTCTATAATCTACTATCATAAATGCCATATATACTGTTGAAATCACACACAAAACGGGCAACAATATGTTAGGCCTCCAATAGTGAGATTGTATGAGAGGAGGGGTAGGTAAAAGGCAAAATGCATTTAAAAATTCGTAAGAAAAGACTGTAAAATATATGAAGGTGAGTGAGGGTGGTAAGAGTGAGACAAGAAGGATTTTGTGGTAGAATGTGTAGGGGAGAGAAGCTAACTTCTCGAATCGGCATAGCAGTCTTGTATGGTACTTTGTCCACCTTAATTTTTCTGAATAATAGTAATCTCATCATTGTTACCTACACAATATTTAACCTTCTAACTTAAAATGACAACAGATATGAAACCTTTTCTAAAAGTTTTCTAGTCCCTGATGATTCGTCTCCTTTTAGTGCTTACTAACTTTCTGCACCCTGACCAAGTGGTCCAATACAAGATTCCCAGTTGTAAATAGATAGCTATAACAAGAAACTCCTTTTAAGCAGAGGTACAAAAAAAGTTGTTGAAAAACAGGGGAACCTGGTCAAGTCCAAACAAATGAAACACTAAAAATAAGTATTTGATGTTGAGCCACAGTCAATTGTCATTATTCAATAACTGTTAAAGGCCAAAAACCCAAGCACACATTCTTATCCTCAAATTCTAAGGCCTAGAAATACCAACTCTCTCCTGGTTAATACTAGAAACTACTACTCATAATTTAACTCCTTTTCTCAATGATACCATTAACAGCTTACTACAAGAAATAATAATTTCTACACCCCATCAAGAACAAATTTGTATCAAAAGCTCAAAGATTTTAAAATTCATATACCTTTGCTTACGCTACGCCCAAGGTTGTTGTTTACACGCAAAGGGTCTATTACATTGAAATGTTTAGAAACAAAAGGCTGCCCTTGATTCTCCTGGCCTCCAGGAAAAACAGCATAAACTGAACTGCATGCTTCAAGAAATAACTTGCTGAGAAGTAACTCTCCACCATCTTTACGTGGAGGTTCAGCTGTAAAAATCTCAAAAACATTAGTGGAAATTCCAAGATGACCAAGACATACTTATCAATACATCAACTATTAATTTATATTAAATTTCATGGTACCTGTTACATCTGGTAGGGAACTAATGGGTACAGGTCCCCATAGGCTAACACAAAAATTATCCCAGTCGAACTTGCTAAAGAACTCTAAAAAGCGATAAAGGACCTGTAATGCCAAAGAAATGCTTTCATGGATTGGCAAATGAATAAAACCTTAATAACAAAATATAAAGAATAAAAGTAGTAGCAACCTCAAGGGGACCAGCGAAGGAATTGTTGAACACATGAAATATGTAGAGGACCAAAGTTTCCAAGGCATAAGTAGATATAAGTCCATGGTGTGCACCCAATATTCGACTCTCATAATAACACCAGGCTTTGATCAGTATAATACTACGCTTGAACAAGTGATTTTGGTTTATTAAATGATCAACCTACAAAAATAAAAGGAGATATATGACCACTTGAAGATTATAAGTTATAACTATTGAAAGGGGTTAAGGGCAGGGTTTCTAAGCACCCCTCACCTCCTCCAGGAAACAAAGGGTGCACAATCCACCAAGCTGATCAAATGAGATGTCTACAACTATATTTTCCACTAGGCACTTAATTATCTTAACCTGCAATACGTATGCAAAATAAAATAAGACATTAATTTATGTGAAACATCATCCAAAGCGAAAAGCGTATTAGTAGTAACAACATTTATATTACACATGGAAGCTAGCTGGTGAAAAACTATTGGAAATTGTTGTATTAAAACTAATAGTTACAGAAAACAGAGAAAAACCTCACAAAACAAATAGCGCAAGACATTTCCATAATTACAATGGTTCAATAACACACAAAAATAAAACATGCAAACACTCTGTTGACCATGTTTATGAAGGAACTAAAACATGCTAGAACATAACCAGAATCATCTCTTTATGAATTATGATAATTGACATTCAAATATTACCATCAATATTATAAAGCACTAAATCAAGCTACATGAACCTTCTTATGAAATGTGAAGATTATGTAGCAATAAGAAGTCTATTTAAGAAACTCTGGAAGAAAGAAAATTAGAAAGAAGATCACTGTCCAAAAGTATTAAATGACCACTTCTTGCCAAACAACTAATCCCTAATCCTTATTCCTGAATTTTTTTTCCACACAGATTATATCATCAGAGAAGGGATAAAATAAAATTTAAGTGTAAAAATGTGTCCTAGATGAAGGTAAGTATAACTGTACAAGTAAACTGCATGCTTGAACAAGCCCCCTCTCAGACAACTTTAACGGGTTCCAATTTGACACACTAACATATTCTAACAATTCTAAAAATTCAATCAATCCTACTTCTGAAGTACAAAGTTGAACTAACATAATTTAGCATAAAATGATACCAAGTAATCTTTTAATATTTTTAGAAGGCTAGAAATAACTTTTTTGTTCTAAAAGACTACATAAATGCTCTCTGCTGAGTCTAGGTAAAATCCAATAGCAACCCAAAGGTGGAAGTAGACAAGAAATTAAAATACTGAGAGGACCTACCTCAGCTTTAATGTACTGAACCTCTTTCACACGAAATTCAGCATTCTCATTCTTCTCCTCGCTTTCAAGCATATCCCGAACCTGATGGGCCCATGTCTCCTTTAAATTTTGATTCTTGCTAAATGCCGTTAAGTCAATGTCTCCATCAGGCAAATATGTTTTCAGGGGAACAGACCCAAAAGTGAAAACCTGCATATTTAGTCATAATTTTGAGCAAAAAATAACAGACTGAAAAGGAAGCGCATAAAATTATGGAAAAAGTGTGCAATTAACCGTAGCTGCACAAACAAAACTCAAACATGTAAGAAGTACTATAATAACTAAATGTAACCCAATAAGTCATACTTTTTTTTAATAATATGAGGCATGAATTCACAAGACGAACATAGGTAAGAAAGGAAAGAAAGGTAACACATCTCCCCTTGAAGATCAAGAAGATTACATAACGGCTCCCCAAATTGGCTTGAGTCAAAAAATAAGTGTGATCGTGGAAACTCAATTATCCATTACCAAAGTCATGTGCATCTACTTTTTCAAGTTTATATAGGTAGTAAAGCTCATTTTCTTTCCTAAAATAGAGAGTGCAATTATTTTGCTTCCAGCTAGTACAGCAACTTGTTACAGAATGATGCAAAGTTAATCCACCTGCCCATTTGACTTGAAAAAAATACTTATAGGCATGATTGTCAAAAATAAGAGCAATATGCAGCCATGTTTGATAATGAAGCCCAAAACTCACAACAGAAAATTATGGCAAAATACATCTAGCTTCAGGGGTTGGCTCAGGTGCCCTGGTTATAGGGGTAAAAAACTAAAGAGCTATTTGATTCCAAGATATCAAAAAAATAAAATTATGGCAAAACACATCTAACTAGTTTCTACATTATTTCAGAAAATGTCATTTCTACCCATAACAATTAAACTTTAAATGAGGGAAAGCAAAATGGTATCCAGAAAAGGAATGGTTTAGAAAATGTTAACCACAATAGTAAGGCCACAGAACATCATCTTTATGAGTTGGACTATGTTACAAAAGGTAGCGGTGCATAGCAATAAACACAAATCCAATATTTCAAAAATATAACTAAATAAGATCTTCCAACAGAATGACTAGTGATCATTCAAAAGAATTGTGGATATTGACAAACATCCTAATATCAACTACTTATCACACAATATGCATTCAAGAAAAATGATGAACGACACGGCATATTAACCATAAGAGATATATATCCAGTAACCACATTCCCTGTACTGAACAAAAAAGTTGATCAGCACCTGGCAGGGGAAGCATTTCATGATCAGCCGCTGCACATAGTCTGCAACAGCATTTCGGCGTTCTTCAGAGGGAGGATTAGGCTGAATGCAGGCAATTAGCTCGGTGGTTCGCTCCTCCGCCCTCGACCATCTATCAGAATCAAGCACTCGCATGACCGTAGCTGCCTCATCGGGCAAAAGACCGTTGGGCAATAGCCCACTTGGTGGCTGTGCCCACCCCTCATGTTCGCCCATGCAAGCCTAGACTTTCCCTCAACTCAATTAACTCTACAACGATTAGACCCTTTTCTCGAGAGCCTGCCCCCCCACAAGGAAAGAAACTCTATCTTCCTCCTTTATCCACAAACAAAGCGAACGACAAACGCAAAATATACTAAGAGGGAAGAAGCTGACTAAAAAGAAATTGAAATTTGAGAATTTCCACAAACTTCTTGATTAGGTTCCTTTCAGTCAAAAAGGAAACTTTCAGTGCTCGATAAGCCAAACGAGATAGGATTTGTTTCCCCTCGAATTCGTTTGCGTTTAAAGTTAGAAATTGCCAAGCATATACAACACAAACAAACATAGAATAATCCTGAACAAAATTCCAGGATCCCCCGAGTTCCCCACAAGAAAAACACACCCAAGAGAAAAAGATTAAAAAAGAAAAAAGAAAAAATAGATTCAGGAAGACATCCAAATCTAATCTAAACACCGGGATGAAACCCTAAAGAGGCCGAAAATGGAAACCCTAGAACTAGTTTCCAGAAGGGTCGGTTTTATGAAACCCCAAAACACAAAAAAACTATTCCAATCCCAAAAATGTCGGAAGTGTCGGCGAATCAAAAATGGGTCGGGGACGAAGAAGACGAAGAACCCAAGAAAATGTAGAAACAACAAAGTTTGGGCATCAAAGTAGAGCGAAATGAATGCGGAAGAAGCGTGGATCAAAAGAAGAAAAATAGGGTTTCTCAGAGCGAAGAAATAAGAGGGCAGAAACACAAGAGAATCAGAGGTAGTGTGTTAGGGAATGGAATATGGGATTGAAGGAGGCGATAAAGAACGGTTTTGACGTTGAAGGAAGGAGATTGCAAATTTGAGGCTTTCCCCCAAAAAAAATTCTCAATTTTCAAAATTTTTCCAATGTGAAATTTGTTTTGATGAGAGAGAAAGAGAGAGAGATGGGAAGAAAATGGTATGACAGAATCTGAGAGGTGAGAGAAATCGAAAAAAACCAAAAAAAGTATTAAAATTGAAAATCAAGTATCAACCATAGTTCTTGGGACTTGCTAATGGACTTCATCAAAAATCATACATTTTTGCTCACCTTCTGAGGCCCTGATCCATTTTAGCCCATATCACTACACTCTCTTCATAATCTATATATATATAAAATAATTCATCCCAGAGCTAAAATCCCTATTATCATCTCAAAGATCATCTACTCTCGTAATTATTACTAGAATATACACATTAAAGATGGTAATATTAATGTTGAATTTCGCCCATTAATACGCTTCATTTATTTAATAGTTTGAACTAATTATTATGACCATTATTTTTTAGTATAATAAAGGTAGGATGGAGGTTTGAACTTCAAATTTTGAGAGAAGGGATAAGGTATCTCAACAAGTTGAGTTATACTCATGTTGGTATGATAATTGTATTGATATGTTCATCGAATGTGTTCTAAAAGAATGGAAGAGAAAATAAAAGCTTCTATTATCCTATAAATTTTTATTATGTTTTTGTAATTAATCATAGATCCACTCCCACAATTATCCCAAAACAAGAAACACACGTTAAAGATGACAAAATTAGTCTTGAATTTTACCTATTAATGCACTTCTTTTATTTAATAGTTCGAGCGGGTGAACTATATAATATGATCATTGTCTATTTAATGTGTTTTAAAACGTTGGAATTTCTACTATATTTATAACTTTATCTAGAAAGACAAAACAGAAGTTCTACTATGATAGAAATTTTGGTTATGTCTTCTATTATGTTTTTTTTAATGTATTATTATGTATAAAAATAAAAAATTGTATGATTTATTAGGATTTTACGAGTAAATTCTCATAGAAATTTCAATCATATTATTTTAATTGTATCATATAAGAATTCAAATTAACTTTTTAAGTCAAAGGGAGCATAGTTCAGTGACATATATCTCCAATTAAGAGATCGTGAATTCAATCCCTCATCCTACCAATTGTAAAAAAAATAATTTATTAAAATATGAAACTCAAATTAAATAAAATATTTGTTCCTATTCTTTACCTAGATTAATTTTTGTATTGAAATATTGGTGTTTGGGGAAGAGAATACCCTGGACACGTGGAGGATCCCTATTGGTGCTCCAAGATGACTCATGAGTCATGCCCAGCTCGGACGGCCGAGACCACCACCACTAGCGTTGACAGATGCTAAGTATGAGGGCCGAGGTGAACCTGGCCGAGGTCCGACCTACCGGGAAGCTCGGTGGGGGCCGATGTGAGCTACTGTCAGCGGCGTGATTATCGGGTATAACCGTCGGTCCCGAGATTACCGGGTGTAACCGACAGTCCCGAGATTACCGGGTGTAACCGTCGCGAGATTAGCGGGACTACCACCCATAAGTAGAGGACTTCACTCCACGATCAGGTACGATGATTTCTGACCTCGAACTAAACTGGGAATCCGACCTATACTGACTTGATCGTCGGAGTGCTCACCTTTTTGTGCAGGTCCGCCCAAGTATTCAGATCGGTCCGG